TCTAGGAGGATACCTTAATGAATTGCCTGTCCATCCCTTGTGTTGTACTTGAGTTTTCTCGCTGAACTACCTAGTTGAAATAGAACAGGGAAGGGCATTTATTCTTTAACTTGCCTTGCTAGAACTCCTGATTTGTGAGCAAGTGTACCTTCTGTGTTCTTGAGACTGCAAGCTAAGAGAGTTTCAGATACCTAAATATGCAGCTAGAACCGAAACACTTTGGTCAGCTGAGACTACCAAGTATGAAATATGAGCCAGTAGTTCACAAGCAGATTTTATGCAAAGAGGAAGCAGTGCTGAAGCTGTTTTGCAGTAGAAAAGCTGGAGGGCTGATGTGAAACAGCATGGCAGGGAGGTCTTTGTCACTCTGCTTTCTTAGACTCTGCAGGATAAGCATTGCTAGTAGATCCTGAACTTACCTGCATATTCCTTTCTGAACTTGTTGTTTTGGGGGGAAGAAAATAATCCCCATGTGCAGGGGGAAATAGAGCTCCTCTTGGCAGTGTGAATGGATGTCCTGCATGTGCTGTTGGGACAAGAAAACTTTGACAGGAAATAGGTGCCTAGCAGTAGGGATGAGTAATGGCTAAATTCTAGGCTTGCAGTTCATTGTGTGGTCTCAAAAATTCCTGTTTGCTTACTATGGTATCTTTAGAGTTGGGGAAAGAGCTTCATTTGTTCCCATATGTGTATATATAAAGAACAATTTTTAGTGACCCAGTGAATGGCAAGCCTCCTTGGACTAGCAAAGATGCAACAAACACAAGAATTCCACTTGCCAGGGAAAAAGGGTGATTGAATTGGGGTTTCAGTCACCAAGGAGTCCTTTCAAAATAATTCTAGAGGCAAAGCCTAGTCTTGCTGGATCATGAAGAGCCAGATCAGACTCCTTGTTTCTTCTGGCTCCAGGAATTTTCTTGGTGGCACTCTCAGCAGGAGAATGAATTCCAGATTAAGACAGTCTCCTGGCAGATAAGAGAACAGAAATACTTTCTAATCTCTGATCTTTATGAGTGCCTAGAAGCTGCATCTCTGAGTTTGTCTGAAAGAAGTGCACTGTCATGTCTGAGATTTTCAGTATCTGATTTATCTCACGGGGGCCTCTTAGAGTCCTTTGAAGTAGCTGGAGGAGGGGGATTCAATTGGTTTCACATGTTCATGCCAAATCCTATTTAAGTAGAAGAACTTGAGGTTATGAGATGTTGTGGTATACATATTATGGAACATAATAAATATTTGTCTGAGCAGCTTCTTTTGCCAGTGGCTTTACAACTTGGGACTGAATTTCCTTCTTTTTCACATGCACCATCCACTGTAATCTTCAGTGATCTTTTGCTTTCCTGGAGGAGCAGTGCTGTGCATTGTACCTCTAAATGACTGTGAGACTCTTCCCTTCCTGCCAAGTTTGTTTAAAATTCACCTATGGGTTAGCAAGCACAGACAAATAAGCTGCCATGGTACCTTGTGTCATTTCTTTAGGAAGTTAGACTTAAAAAAAGAAGAAAGAAAACAGGTTAAAAAATCAAGCATTAAGAAATTTGGAAATGCATGGATTTAAGTTGTTCAGATGTTTACTAAGATTTGATCTGTTTATGCTGTTGAGGAGGATGCTGGCTGGCTGAGTAGCCAGCCTTGTCTGTACTCTGGCAAATCCAGAAACAGGTGTTCTGCATGCAAAATTTCAGCTTCAGTGGAACTTGAGCAGATCTGAGCACCTGAGACCAAGGTCATAGAGCCATAGAATGTCCTGACTTGGAAGGGACCTTGAAGATCGTCTAGTTTCTACCCCCTTGCCATGGACAGGGATACCTTTCACTAGACCAGGTTGCTCAGAGTCCCATTCAACCTGGCCTTGAACACTTCCAGGGTTGGGGCATCTACAGCCTCTCTGGGCAACCTGTGCCAGTGCCTCATTGCTCTCACAGCAGAGAATTTTTTTCTAATATCTAGTCTAAATGTACCCTCTTTCAGTTTGAAGCCATTCCCCCTTGTCTGGTCACTATATGCTCTTGTAAAAAGTCCTTCTCCATCTCTTGTAGCCCCTTTTGGTACTGGAAGGCCACAGTTAGGTCACTCTGAAGCCTACTCTTTTTCAGGCTGAACAAACTCAATTCTCTGACCCTTTCCCTGTAGGACAGATGCTTCATCCCTCTAATCAATGTGGTAGGCCTTGTCTGGACTCAGTCCAACAGGTCAGTGTCCTTCCTGTTACAGGGATTCCAGTCCTGGATGCACTGCTCCAGGTGAGGTCTCTAAAGAGTGTGGTAGAGGGACTGAATCGTGTCCCTGGACCTGCTGGCCACGTTACTTTCAATACTTCCCAGGGTACAATGGGCTGCAGACATGCATTTCAGACTCATCTCCAGCCTCTCATCCACTGGCACCCCCAAGTCCTCGGCAGGACTGTTATCAACTGTGTCAGCCCCCAGCCTGTATTGATACCAGGCATTGTCCCAGCCCAGGTGCAGCACCTTGCACTTGGTCTCATGAGATTTCCATGGGCCCATTTCTCCAGATTGTCCTAGAAGAAAACAGTGGCAAACTTGCCTGTCATTGTGGGAAAAAGTACCACTCAGTGGTCCTGTGTAGAAGTCTATTCTTTAACCGAAACTTGCAGCTTACTATGTTTAAGAGCACTCCATGTATAAGAGACATGTTTTCAAACACCAGTAGACCTTAACCAAGCTTGGAACTTCAGGTTGTGTTTAGGGCCAGCTGATTCACTGGCAGAAAACCACTGTGATATTTTGCACGTAAACCAGTTGAGAACCAAGCCCAGAGCTGAGCATCGGAGTATTGGTACACCCTGAGTGATGTTGTATTTGGACAAGTATTTTCTCAGAGGGCAGCTGGTTTCAGCATCTCTGCTACATGCTGTCTCTCCAGTTTTGCTGCTGCAGTTGTTCTTGCAGCTGTTTGGTCATCTGAGCTTTAAATGTCTTGGTAGGTGGGGAAAAAGGTGGTTTTTTAACCTGAATCTGCTCTCCAGTCTGGTTTGCTGCATAAGTCAAGTGGTTAAACCAGTCTATCAGAGACAGGACAGAATAAAAAGCAGGCACTGGGTTCACTTAAGCTAACAAAGCCGCCAGACTGTCTGGAGCGAGGTGCCCGTGGGCTGCTGTGTCCCGTTCAGGTTGCAGGTCTTGGGGCAGGGGTTTCCCTCTGCTGTGCTGCTTTAGATCTGTCTGCACATGTAAATCATGGAAACACTGAAGCAGAAAAGAGCAGTTTAGCTTCACCTGCTGTTTCAGCTTACATACAAGTTTTTTGACTTGACTCCATGGAAGGTGGGAAGGCATGGTCCTAGTTGTAAATTTGTATTATGAATGGTAACAAAACCAGTGGAGTGCTTATATTCTCTGTGCAGACTTCTCGCATGTCTTTCATTAGTTTGTTACTGAACGTCAGGGACTGTTTGCAGCCTGTCCTTTTGGTTTTAATGAGGCATTTGCTTCTCAACTCGGGAGCTGTGTTTGTAGCTGTTGCCTGCTCCAGGCTTGGGGCTCAGTTGGGTTTCGTGGGGATTTTGCACCAGGGAACATGCAGAAGCCAAGATCTGGGCCACTTGGCTTTTTTCTTGCCCAGCCTGCAGCTGTGATCTCTGGTTCACTGGCTGACCACTAGCAGTGGACAGTGTGAAGGCAGGAATTGCTGAAATCCCTCCACAAGCACGTGGAAGGAGGTGTTCCAGCGTATGAACTACACTCACGTGCTTCATGCTGCCCAGGAAAATGCTCTTTGATAGAAACCTATTTTAAGCAAAGCTGGAAAGCAAACCTGCTTGAAAACAAAGGCTGGAAACTAGGATGCAGAGCGCTAACCCGACTGCAGGAGGGCTGTTGCATTTGGACGCAAGGGTGGTGTTTGTGTGTTGGAATGTGCTGTTACCCAGGTGCCAACCAGCTGTCCTCCAGCCTCACCTGGACATAGGGCAGGAGCCAAACTTGTCCCTCCACTCCTTAGAGCGGGACTGCAAAGGTGTTGTATGAATAAGTTGGTCAGGGCTGCTCTCCAGGCTGATGAAACAAAACACTGAAACAGCTCAGAGGGAGGTAACCCAAAATGCTGTCGTAATGAAGCAGCACTTTGAGTGCATCAAATTTAGTGGGGCAATAGTGAGAATAAGTCACACATTTGGTGTCTTGTGCAATCCCCTTAGAGTACCACCCAAGTCAGAACATAGCACTGTGCCAGCTTTGGAGAGAACTTTGGACCTGAACAATATGGATGAAAGAAGGCATCTTAGAACTAAGATATGGAAACCATTCCCTAAGGGTTTGAAGAGCGAGTTTCCTGGGTTTTTCCACACAGACACGATCTTACTGATGTTCTGACACATATTTGTACGTGTATATGATCATACAGATCAAATAGCAATGTGTGTGGCTGCACAAATATTAAAGTTGTGACTGCTCTCCTGTGTAGTGATGAAGTCCTAGAAATATAGATAATACCTAAAATTTGCCTACAAACTGTTTTGATGTAGTTTATTAGGACAAGACCAAACTACTTCTGCTATTGCAGAAACCCTTTTGACAGCCGTATTGTATCTTCAGTTACTTATGAATGATCTGGAGGAAAGAGACATTTTTGCAGAATCTAAGAGTAAAAAAAAAGCAAATTCTGAATTTCCATGAAATCTACCCTTGTTTATCAAGATGATCTCAGTGTGTGTGAGGACAGGACTGTGCTCTGGATTTAGAGCCACCTCAAGAAGCATACTGAAACAAGCCAGTTTTACCCTACTGACGGCAGTGTTGTGTAAGGTTTGATGTTGTTTGTTGGGAGAGTTGTAGAAGTGACATTTGTGCATCTTCGGTTTGCTGCTTTTTTTTACTTCAGCCTTTATTAGGGAGGGTAGAGGTACATCTGCTTCCCTTCCCCCCTTACAGTTCTTAAGAAAATATTCTGGGTTATGCCATTAATTTTTAATTCTCTCCCATTCCTTTTACTTCTTGCAGTTCTTGTGTGGTTGGTGAAAATAAGCCTACGCTGCAGGGATGCAAGAGGAGCAACAGCCTGAGGTAGGGCTTGGAGCTGAAGCTTGTTTCTTAGTAGAATTGTAGGGAAGGTCAAGACTGAATCAGCGTAGTTCTTCCACTCATCCATGGGGAAGTTCTGCGGAATCATAGGGTTGAGAACACCAGTGTGAGATCCCTCTTGAAACAGTGGGATGGAGAGCCGAGGGCTATTTTTTTCCTCATTTAGCTTCTTGTCAGGATCCTTTTTGCTCAATTGCAAAAGCTAAAAAGGGTCTTTTGTATTAATTTGCTTGCAAATGAGGAATTACAGAAAATAGCCTAACCTATGAGATTAAACCTTTAGGAGGAAAAAATGTTTTGTGAGTAAATGACACAAACTGATTACATACGAATAATTGCACTGTATGTGGCTTAAGTACCTTGTCAAATTAATCTGAGGGTCTTTTTCTACCCTGTCTGTTCCTTCTCCTTTCATATATCTCACAACCTTTTTCTGGTGTAATAGGTGAAGCTCAGGACATTTTTGTCTTATGAGATGTAACAATGTCAGTTCTTTTGTCCTGTTAATTAATTTAAAAAAACCCAAAAGAACAACAGACTCCTAATGTGGTGGCTTAGTGCTTTTCTCACTGCTGTGTTGTGATGCTATGGAGACAAAGCCAGCATAAGTGACAGGATTAATTCCATATGTTACAGATGGATAAATTTTTCTAAAATATTTTTGTGGCTAGAGTTACGTATGCAAGCAGTAGAATCAAGCCATATGCTGTGATCAAAAGCTGAGCTGGTGTTAAATTGGATTTGTGAATGTAATTGCAGTTTGTGGTGTAATTGCAGTCTGCAGTTGTCAATGAGCAGACTTCTGCTTTGTAGTGAAAGGATGATGTGTTGCTGTGAGTATTTAAACTTTGCACTGTAAAGCTGTTGTACTTTTTGAGTTTAGTCCGTGAAATGTATCGTAAATTTTTCCTTGCCTTCAGTGGGGCCACGGTAAGACACCCAGGATTGATTTTCTGAAAATTCCTGTTTGGCATAATGGAATGCAAGAAGAAATTAAATCCTCTTGTTGAAATCTCCTAACAATTGGATGTGCTTTGTACAGTCTTGCTTTAAATCTCACCAGGTTTAGTACAAAGTAAATAGACCAGTCATTTTGGCTAAAAGCTGACATTCTTCAGGAGAGCTTGGCTGCCTGCTTGCTGACTCATTAATACTGGCTTTCATTTGGCAAGTACTTGAATGATGATGGATTCACATCCTGTCTCTAACTTTATGACTTCAGAATTTCAAATTCTCCCAATAACCATCCTGATTAAACTTTTAATTTATGTAGGTGCCTAAAGATAGTTTACAGTTCAGCTTTTCCCTATTCCTAAGTCTTTTCCTGCACTAACTGTGCCTCTCTGGCTTTGATGACATTGGCTGAATGACTGGGATTGTTTGAATTCTGTGCATGGGCTTTAAAACTTGCCTTTGGCAAACCTTTGGCTTTAGTTAGCCAAAGACCTGCATCATATACTTCTAGTGATAATTCTTAAAAGCCAGTTTTTTTGGAATCTTTTCAATTACCTTCTGATCTTGTAGAGAGCAAAACTATGCAGATGCCTTGTCTCTTTTTGACTTGATTTCTGATGTATATAAAGTCATCATGCACATAAACTCCATAAGATTGGGTGTGCGTACTGTGCAGTTGTATAGCTTGCATTTATTCCAACAAATAAAATACTTGGCCTGGCTATTTAGAGCGGATATGTCTATTCTTGTGAGTGCTGATTACCTTTGTCAGACTCGTAACAGACTAATACTGACTGCTAGTTGAGTCAAATGTTATTAAAATAATCAATGCACATTTTAATTTCCAACACAGAAAATGCTATAGTAGAGTTAGAGATTAAGTTTCTTTTTTAAATCTAGAATCTGATTTATTAAAAGAACTCCATGTCAGGTATAAATATTATCTGTTAAAACAGGCATGAATTAATTTTTACTATGTTTTTTCTTACGCAGCTAGGAAAAAATAGTTGTAAAACCACAAATGTTTTGAACTGTGATACCGCTTAAATTATTTACTTGCTTGAATATTATATGTAGGTTCAAGTTGAGCAAGCTCTCAAAGGGAAAGATATATTAAAACATTTCATTTTAATTCCCAGCCTCCTTTTGAATTTGTTTCATACAGGCTGCTGCAGATCCCATGTCCTCCTCTGATGCATCAGAAGATGGCTCAAAGGAAACGTCAAGTGTATCGCAGGATATCTGTATGTTTCTGGTTTGACTGGGGAGGGTGTATCACATTGGAAGTGTATTAAGCTAAACATCCATGCCTTTTCCTTACCTAATAAGGATGTGGCTCTTAACACAAAAGGGAGATGCGAATGAGGTCCTATCTGTCTTAATTTGTTCATGAGTTGTTTCTAGGCCCAGTTGTGTAAATCAAATTTAGAAAGAGCAGTGACAATGGTTGTCAGTTTGCTGATCCCATGCTTCCAAAAGAAAGTAAATATTTTTAGATTTAACAGATATAGTCAGCTCCTGTTTTAAGCTCAGTCATTGCTTTCTAAGCCAGTGATGCATTAGTATATGTTTGCTTCAGCAGCCTGGCATCTAGTGATACGATGTTGCTCAGTTGTCCCAAGTGGAATACCTTGCCTGTGCTGGCAGGATAATGTTTTGATATGAAGGCCAAGCCTGCAGGATGTGTCAATGGAAGTATTCCAGCCAAAACTGTCTTGTGAAGCCCAGGAAGAGTATTAGTCCTTACCTTTTGTTGGTAAGGATCAGGTAACAACAGCTAGTTCTTTCTCAGGAGGAGAAAACAAAGGCTTCTCAGGGTTTCTTTATGTATATTGATATACTATTGTGATATTAATGCATACAGTGCTCATCTGTAAAAATAGGAACATTCAGATTGTGCTTTCTGACAAATAATAGTCTCTGAAACACCTTAGGGCAATTTAGTGGCTAACAGCAACATTATTGTAATGCTGAAGTTGCTGAATAATCCCAAGGGATCTCAGCTTTCATGGGAACCTTGACCAAAGCTATGGGAAAAACATTCAGACCTAAAAAAGCAGATTAATTTTTGATGTTGCCATTTTTTCAGGTGTAGAAGTTGGTTTAATAAAAAATGTAGGTGCTCTTGAAAATGACCTTCAATTATAACATCTGATACTGCACCACTATAGCAGTTTTGCTTCACATGAAATATTATTCAGTCCAGTTCTGAGTATATGTATGAGGTGAAGGCTTGAAAAATAAGTAGAAATTAAACCCTTTAAGGGTTACCGGATATGTAGAAACCACTTTCAGCTGGGGAATCTGAGCCGTAGATGGCTTTAGGCTAGGGGAGTATTTGGGGCAGGTATTGTTCACTCTTCCCCATTTATTATATTCTCCCCTAGATACTCACTTTTGGAGGCATCTATTGTGAGAGGCAGGATATTTACTTAGGGTGATTTTGGTTGATCTGCTATGTGACTGAGTGCTACAAATGGAACAGCTCTATCTTTTCTCCTTCCCTCTTCAGTCATGTTTTCCTCACCTCCTCCTCAGCACCACCATCTGTTTTGGCAGCAATGTTGTCTTGGCTCAGACAGTACTGATTGCAATACGCCATGTTCCTGGGTATTGCCCATGAAGTAGTAGGCTACTAAAATGCTAGTTAAGAAGGATGTTGAAGGATTGCTTTTGCTTTGGGTTTTTGGTTTGGATTTTTTGGGAGGAGGGGTTGTCTGGTGGGGTTTTTTTAACATAAAGTCATATGAGATAAGTATTTGTGGGACAGATCTGGTGCCAGAGCCATACAGTTTAACCAGATTGATGAAATGAATGTATGGTAGGAGACTGTAATTTATCTGCATCTTTGATCTCCTGGCTGCAAACTGTTAACTAACCGTTTTTCTTTTCCCCCTGGGATTATGATCCTATTCCAGGCTTCTGGACCACTTGAGACCTCTGCTAACTTGTGCAGCAGCTTGCTAGAGAAAGAGAGTTGGTTGGAAACAAAACTCTGCTTTCCTGCTTGATACTTTTTTTCCCTAAGATGCGTTACAGCTTAAAGATGACTCATTCAAAGTGAATATATTTCCCATTAATGTAGAGTTGAAGCTTCTCTATCTCAGTTAATGAGGCTCTCTGGCATTTAACAAGCAACTGTGATGGAAATGGTAGATCCTCCTATTTTCCATATGGCAAGCTGACGTAGATCAGCTAAACTCACGTTGTGCTGTTTCGATCTTAAATAATTTGTTGTTGGAACTAGGGAAGAACAATTGGTTTCCTGATCTGAGTACTTCCCGAGGTTTAATTTTCAATTGTGTACTGATCCCTGGTGTCTTAATCACAGAAGAGGTTAGGGTTGGTGCTGTAGGTATCCGTTGTGTGCCAGTATGTGCAGGTGACTTTGCCAGCACACTCACATGAGTGTACATGTGTTGCTATTGTTAATGTAGATAAAGATCCCAAAAGGGGAACACCTCTGGTTTAGAATTTAAAAAAAATGCTCTTTTTTATTTCTAATTTAGTGTATACCTTTTCTAAGTATTCTTTGCTTCTCTATCCACCTCACCTGCCACACAGCTCTCTC